TGGCTCAGGGCTGCCGCTGAGGGCAACTGTGCATTTTGTTGACTATCATGTTCCTTCCTCTCAAGCTGGGGTCTACAGCAGAAAAGCCAGGAGAGCCACAGTGGCCTTGGCCTTCACCACAGCTGTTGCTGCAAAAAAAGATAACAGATAAAGCCCTAACGTCTCTTATGGGGCTGGCTGGTATCAGCACACAGAGAACTTGTCTGCTGCCTCTAGAGCGCATCTCCTGGGCTAGTCAGAACTATAGATGTAGCCACCACATCTGGAAACCAATGCAGTCTGGTCAAATGGGGGGTGGGGCTACAGAGACATTTTCCAATATTTTGTGTGAAACAGATTCAGCCTCCTTTGGGCTCTTCTCTCTTCCAGATGAATATCCTGGTGGACACTGGAAGCAGCAACTTTGCCGTGGGTGCAGCCCCTCATCAGTTCCTGCAGCGATACTACCAGTGCCAGCTGTGAGTAGGCAAGGGCGGTGAGGTGAGCTGCTCAGAGAGGAGAGGGGGCCTCACTCGAGAGCTCCCCCAGCTTGCTTTCAGCAAGACATTGCAAGAGGCAGGGGGAACGTGGCACCGCAGAGGGTGAGCCCTGACTTTCTACTCGTGTTTGTTGTAGCTCCAGCACCTATCGGGACCTGCGGAAGGGAGTCTACGTGCCCTACACGCAAGGGAAGTGGGAGGGAGAGCTGGGCACTGACTTAGTGGCCATCCCTCATGGCCCAAATGTCACGGTCCGTGCCAACATTGCCGCCATCATCAAGTCGGACAAGTTCTTTATCAATGGCTCCAACTGGGAAGGCATTCTGGGCTTGGCATATGCCGAAATTGCCCGGGTGAGCTTCTTTTACCCTTCTGTGCATCACTCAAGCTTCTTTTCGTGCAAGTGGCGCAGCTCATCCCCTCTTTTCTTGAGCAAGATACCAGCTGGTTGGTTTGGGCCTTAGAGGAAAGTCTGTTCTAGGGTGTTTCAAACGCAGAATTCAACCCTTTCCAAGCTAGTCCCCAGCCTTCTCTAGGGCACAGCTCTGCCCTTTGGACTTCAGTGTGCTGAGCTGTCTCAGCGAAGGCCCTGCCTTGAAGCGGCTGCAGCACTGCTGTCCAGAGCAACCCAAGACCCTGTCTAGGTCAGGAAGATGGTTAAAGCCTTCCAGCCCTCCCCGTGCCCCTCCACCCTCCAGATCTTTTACAGTAATGTGTGGCCAATTAGGAATCCTGGAAGATACGATCCCAATATATTGCTGGGGGGGGCAATTGGAGAAGTCACGGCCTTGACACAATGCTTCTTTTCAGCTGAGTGAGAATGCCCAACCACACTGTTGGCATGCCCCTCTTTCTTTCTCCCACCAGCCAGACAACAGCCTGGAGCCCTTCTTTGACTCACTGGTGAAGCAAACGCAGGTGGCCAACATCTTCTCCCTGCAGCTGTGTGGCACCAGCTTCCCGACCAATGATTCGGAGACCCTGGCGTCCGTGGGGGGCAGCATGGTGAGGGCATGCGACCAAGAGGCCTTACCTCTCTTTTGTTTGCAGAGAGTGGCTCCCCATTATAGCGTCATGACCTTTAAATGACCTCAATAAGGGACTCAGAATGAGAGCGCAAAGTGTTTACGTTTAGAGATGGCTACAGCCAAGGCCCTGTTTCTTTCTCCAAATGGGTCAGCTTGTGCCTGTACACAAAGAAGGGGGCTTGCAAGAGGCAGCTGCTCCCGATATAGGCCAGTCTCCAGTCACATTCTGGGTGGCCTCTCTGCCTCCGGCCCCTAAGAGTTCCTCTGTTCTTCCCTTTCCTCACAGATCATTGGGGGCATCGACCAGGCCCTCTACAGGGGCAACATCTGGTACACCCCTATCCGGAAGGAATGGTACTATGAGGTTGTCATAGTCAAGATGGAGATCAATGGGCAGGATCTCCAGATGGACTGCAAGGAGGTGAAGGGGCTGCTGGGGGGAGGGAGTTGGCACAGGCGCTCCAGGCTGACTTGGTCAGGTTCAGCTGGATGGTGGAAGGAGTAGCGGCACCGCGACGGCCTTTCCTCCCTCAGAGAGTGCCCTGCTGCCTCCCGAGCAGCTTTCCTGCCCTGCTCAGGCTGGGTGGGCCCCTGCACCAATATGGAACTAGCACCTGAATTGTGACCTCCCCCTTCCCTAGTACAATTATGACAAGAGCATTGTGGACAGCGGCACCACCAACCTTCGGCTGCCCAAGAAGGTCTTTGAGGAGGCAGTGAAGTCCATCAAGACAGCTTCCTCGGTGAGAGAAGCCTGTGAGCGGGCGGGATCATTTGTGGGCAGGGATCTCCCCTCCCGCTCGAGAAGCCAGCATCCCCCAAGAGGCAGGGTACCCCAACGGTGATTTTGGCTTTGTCGGGGTGTGTGGAAGGGGCTGTGCTTGGTCCCTGCTATAACCAGCCTGTAAGATTCTGCAGCTGGGGAAGCAATGGAAAGTGAGGGGACAAATCTTTTGGTGTGGAACCTGAAATAGCTTCAACTTCAGGGAGTCCGTTGCCTTTCCGGCCTCTGCTGGAGGCTACCTTTTGCTGAGCAGTTTCTGTTGTGGCTCCCTCACCACAGACAGAGAAGTTCCCGGATGGCTTCTGGCTGGGGGAGCAGCTGGTTTGCTGGCAAGTGGGAACGACCCCTTGGAACATCTTCCCGGTCATCTCTCTCTACTTGATGGGGGAGGCCACCAACCATTCCTTCCGGATCAGCATCCTGCCCCAGGTGGGTGCCAGCTTCTCAGCAGTCAGAGTAGGGGGAAGGGTCTGTTTGGGGGGCAATATCAGCAGAGGGAGAGGAGGAGACTGGTGGGGACCCGGAAGGAAGGTCAGTTGAGAATATTGGTGGTAGAAACCAGGTCTTTGGGCAGCCTGGGAAAAACGGCCAACCCTCCAGGACTTCAACTTTGGCCAGGTATTTGTTATGGCATGGAGCAATGTCGGCCTTTGTGCTGAGAATGTGCAGCTTTTCTCAACTACTGAAATACAGAATTGTCCATTCCTTTCAAAAGTACATTTTAAGCAGCATCAGAAGCTTAGTGTTAAGAACTCAGAGGCTGAGCAAGAGAGCCCAGGGCACCTGTAGCATTACAGGTAATCCTCAACTTACAGTGGTAATTGGGATGGGAATTTCCATTGCTAAGTGACAGCATTGCTTAGCAACAGCAATTCCTGCAGTCCTGCTTGTACTCAGAAACCAAACCTCACTGAACCTCACGGTAGTTAGGTGAACCAACTTCCTGTTGGCTTCCCACAACTAAAGTCAATGGGGAAGCCAGCAGGAGGTTGCAAGTCCCAGGCTGGCAAGTAGGTAAGTGGCTACTACTGAGTGGGAGAGCGAGTAAGGGGGTGGATGAGACCCAGGGAAGCACAGCACTTGTTGGGGAGGATATATGAAAGGCATGGGGCTATCTCAGAAGGCCTGGGGGAGTGTTGTGGATGGGGGAGACTTCACTTAGCGACTTTGACCTTCCTTGACGGCTTCCCCATTGACTTTCTGGGGAAGCCAGCTGCAACTGGTGATCAGGGCGCTGAAAGAGATCCTAAGTGTGAGCCAGTTGCTAAATAGCCAGATCTTAATCATGTGACTCTGGGGTGCTGGGATGGCCGTAACTCCCAAGGACTAGTCATAGCTATCATTCATTCATTGTAACTTTGAATGGTCACTGAAAAAATGGTCATAAGTCAAGGACTTCTGCATTTTGTTATGCACAATAGCAATACTATAATACTGACATTACCTATAAGAAAAGTTCAAAATAGGGACTTTTAACACATTGTAAAGACAGTATTGGCCAAACTGTTGAATGCTGGATTTGTTTTTCCCTGGGGCAAAGTAATCCTTCTGTCCCTCCCTGATAAGGCTGGTAATTAAGCATGTAAAACTTTCTAGCTGATTTATCTGCAACAAGGGGAGCTCGTACACTCAAACTAAGTAATCTGTTTCCAACAGGTCAGCCTTGTTTCCCCTACTGTCCTGGTTTGGGACAGTCCTTGTTGTGTGATAAGGCTGCCACATGGCCTTGCAAGGTGAGAGGCTGGAGGATGAGAAGCCCAAAGGGAAAACAGCTAAGAACAGCAGTGAGCAAAAGGCCAAAGGCCTTTTGCCCACAAAATGGAGCTCCTCTCGCTAAAACTAGCTATACCAGTCCTACAATAGCACTTTAAAAAAATGCATCAGATCTTTTCAGGCAGTAAATTTGATCCATAGATTAATTTCTGAGCTTGATTTTGGATACTGCTTAACTTTTCCTGGCAAGCCAGAAAGAAAAATGCAGCAGGGATCAAAATCAAGAAGAGTCATCATTCTCATTATGGCTCATGGGCCAGACTGCACTTGGAATATGTAGCCCAGTTTGGGCCACCCTATTTTAGGAAGGAATTGAAAAACCCTGAAGCAGATCAGAGGTGAGCAGCCAAGAGGACAAGGGCCCTGGATAGGAAACACAGGAGAAGTTCATGACATGGGATGTACTTAGCCTGGAAGAGAAATTTGTGTATCTCCAAATATCTCAAGGTCTGTTGTGTAGAAGACAAGAAAAGTTGTTCAGAGTCATCCTAGAAGTCAGGACAAGAAACTGTAATTTAAATGACCACAAAGAAAAGTTTGAGTTGGATGTCAGAAAAAAATGCAACAGACATCTTTGGGAAGAGACTGATTTCCATGGGCCTGATGCCCACCTGTCAGGATGCCAGAATAGTGGAATTCTGCATCTGACAGGGCGTTGGACTACGTGAGCTCCCGAGGTCCTTCCAGTTCTGTTGAAGAAATGGTTCTTTTCAACCAGCTTAATGCAGGAATGTGTGAAATAATGAACATCTCAAAGGCAGAGTGTGTGCATGGCTTTCCTTGATCCTCCTGGGAATGCTAAAGTCTGCTGCCCCTTTGACCTGAAGAGGCAGGACACCATTTCTCAGGACTTGGCATGGCCTCATGTCTTTGTTGCCTCCTCTCTCAGCAATACCTACGGCCTGTCGAGGATGTGGCTACCTCCCAGGACGAGTGCTACAAGTTTGCTGTCTCCCAGTCCTCCACTGGCACTGTCATGGGGGCAGTGATCATGGAGGGCTTCTACGTGGTCTTTGACCGGGCTCAAAAGCGCATTGGCTTTGCTGTCAGCACTTGCCATGGTAAGTCTCAGAGCAGGGAGGGGGGCAAGCGCTGCCAGCAGTCTCATCTGCTGCTTCCCAGACTTGAATAGCCCCCCAGCTCCCGCAGGTGACCTCCAGGGCCATGAAAATGGAGCTTGAATTCAGCCCCTTCAGGTGTTCTCTTTTGCAGGTTGTGAAGTGGTTCATCGGCCCTCCAACTTGTCTGGAGCACCCCTTCTCCCTGGGCCCCTTGGTTACCAGACGTCCACCTTTTGAGACTCAGCTGGGTTCTGCCTGGCCTTCCCCACACGAGCTGGTCACGTTTGTCTCATTCCTCCGCCATCCCTGGCCTGGTGCTTGGCCCAGGTCGAGATGGGGCCTCAGTCAGGCCCCCGTAGTCAGGTCTCGCCTTTTCCCCTTCTGTTCCCGTGTTCAGTGCAGGATGCATTCCGGACAGCCTCGGTGGATGGGCCTTTCCTGCACCCCAACATGGAGGACTGTGGTTACAACATCCCCCAGACGGACGAGTCGACTCTGATGACCATCGCATACATCATGGCAGCCATTTGCGCTCTCTTCATGCTTCCTCTCTGCCTGATGGTCTCGCAGTGGCGCTGCCTGCACTGCCTCCGCCGTGGTCACGATGACTTCGCTGATGACATTTCCCTGCTCAAGTGAGCGCTGCCCTCCCCCCCCCAGCCCAGAGCCCATGCTGGCAACATGGCTGGGCATGGGCACTGGGACCATCCTCCCCTCCCCTAGCGCTGCTGTGGCCTTTGCCTTCTCCATGCAGACAGCTGCTGTTGCTGGGTTTGCTCAGCTGCCGCCCAGGGCCTACCACAACTACCAGCCTCCAGCCCATGGTGGGCAGAGAGGTTGGCAGGGTCAATTGTGGCAGAAGAGCCGTTGCTTCCACTGGTGTCCCAGAAGTTCCACAATTAGCACAAGCAGCGGGCAGGCGGACTGGCTGGGTCCTGTCATCTCTCCGGAAAACACCTTTTCTCCTGTTGCACTGAGTTTGCCTGTAACAGTGACTGCTGCAGTTTGTGCATCATGGAAGCGCTGGGGGGAAAGGGGGGGGGGCTTCTGAGCAGTGCTTCTTTTTAATTTATTAAGGGTGTGTGTGTGCTTGTTTCTCTAGATTTCAATAGTTATAAAACTGAAGGGGGGTTTTTGCCATACCCCACTTTCAGAGTCTTCAGGTGCCTGCTTGGAACTTATGTCTGGTGACACCATTTCAAGGGCATCTCTTCCCCTCTCCCCATGCCTGCTGGGACAGGGATCAGCTCAAGATGAGGGACCCACTGAATTGGCGAAGGGGTTACTGGAGGTTTTCTGGTGTGGAGTAAGGCTAGATGGCTGTAGAAACCTGCACTCCAGGAGTCAATGAACAGTTTATGGCTGTAATAGGAACAGCTGCTTGGGGGTGGGGAGAAGGGGGGAGACCCTCCTGCTTATTGTGTTGCCCTTCCTCCCTGGGAAGGATCCAGTGGGCTCCCCTCCTCCAGACAAGTTCTGCTAGGGAGGCCCCATTAGCTGGCCATTAGGTCAAAGCGCCAGGCCCCCATTTCCTCTGTGTGTGTGTGTGTGTGTGTGTGTGATGGAACTCTCCCATTGGCAGAGTCCCTGCTGACAGAAGCAGGACCCAATGCCAGCCTCCTGCCCGGCTGTCTTGGATGCCAAGCAAGCTGAATGTGTGGCCTGGTTCTGGCACTTCTTCCTCACCCCTTTCTGCGGATCTGGCCCAGCTTTTTTCCTCCTGTCCTCCGCCCAAGAGGGTGGGAAGGTTCAGAGGGTTTGAGGCCGAAGCAGCCCTGTTGCCAGCTTGGGCACCCAGTGGCCTTGCGCAGTTGGGGGCATCAGAGGCTACTCAGGGAATGGACAGTCAGAGAGACATCTTTCCTCAGTAGCCTGCAGCTGACTTGCCAAGGAGCCGCTGGGCGTTCCCCAGGCTCTGTGGCGGCAGAGTTAGCTGTGGGCGCCCAAATAGCTGCCTCTCTGCCAAACAGGGGCAGCTGGGCAGCCTGGACTCTGATCCCTGCTCTGGGGCCTCTGCTAAGCAACACATGGAGGGTCAGGCAGTATTGGAGCAGGGCAGGGCCCAGACCCCTCAGTAGCACAGGCAGCTCTCCTGCAGTGGTCTAGGGTTTCTGCTTGAGCTAGTTGACCTCCAAGGTCCCTTCCAACTTCTGTTACTCTGCAGTGTGGAGTCCAAAGTGAGGAGTTACAGTTCCCTCTGTTGTATTGTGAGAAACCCCCCACCTTTTCCAGGCCCCTGGCTGTGGCCTGCCTGAGAGGAGCAGACAGCTGTGGGACTGGGGACCTCTGGGCAGGGATTTGGCATGGAAAGCCTTGGGAGGCCGACAGGGCACAGAGATCCCACTGGGTCTCCACTGCTGTGAATGGAACGCTCCTTGGGAGATCCTCAGCACCGACGCTGGCCATGGGAGACGGGGATAGTTGCAGTCAATGTGCTTGTACAATATTTTAAATGTTGTACATTTGATGTACAATGTAAATGTACAATGTAAATATTTGTAATATTGGCTCCCCAATCTTCCCATTTTGTCTCAAATGCAAAAGAAGGAACAAGCTAGAAAACCTTTAAACTGTGTTTTGTGTTTTGGTAAATGCCAGGTTGTTTGGTCTGGTTTTGTGGGTTTTACGCTGCCCATAGGGAGAGGTGGGACAGGATGGGAGATGTTTTTCCCTCCTGTGAGGGCCATTTGTGCGGAGCCAAATTGTGGTAATATTAGTGTCTTCCAGGGGACAAGTCCCACTCAATATTGACCAGGACCCTACTCGCTGGAAGTTGCCCAGCGCAGCTATGCATTTTCAGTATGCCTCACATCAGAGGATGCCTTCACAATGAGGGAGTTTCCCCCTCCATTGTCGAAGTCCCAGAAGAAACTTAGGCCATCACCCCCCCTCCAGTCAGACGCTCATGCATGCTCACCCACTGCCGTTAATTCATGGGATGGTGCCATGCAATCCAGGGGCCCTCACAGCCAGCGCCGTGGGTCCTTGGCCATCTTAATTCTGAGGGTAGGGAAGAATCCCACAGCCCCACAGCGTCTGTCCTGATCCAAGTGTCCGTGAGAGCAGCAACAGAGAAGGCCATGCCACTCGGGGTGCCCACAAGAGCATCTCTCACTCTGCAGAGCCATGGACTTCCTCGGGCTGCATCCCCACAGCAGAGGAAAAATCCTCCAGTTCTCACACAACCTTCCGCAGCAGAGCCGTGGTCCCTCTGAAGTAGGGAAAGGAGGGTCCTGCCCAACTACTGCATCATATACACATTTTATTATGAACTGGTATGGGTGTGGACTTTCTATACACACATTCCCTATAGAATAAAAATGTACAGGTGTATACACTGCCATATAAATACAGAGCCATAGAAACACTGGGCGCAAGGCCCCTCGGAAGCCACCTCCGCCTCTCCACTTCAGCCGGGGTCATTTCAGGGCGGGGCAGAAGGGACAGGCATCGTTTGTGTTCGTCTGAGCCCAGAACTTAATGCACTGCAAGGAAACAAGTGCTGCCCTTCAGCCCCAGGAGAAGGGGGGAAGGGGGCATTGTAAACCTCTGCCCTTCGGACAGTCCTTCTCCTGACTCCATCTCTACCCAGAAGCCCAAGGAGCACCTGTGATCCTCTTTATGCAGTCAGGCCAATTCAACCCCCCCACTCGGAGGTCCCATCAGCCCCTCACCTCCTTGTGCAGCACATGTGAACAGGCCATGGGGTGCAGGTCGCTGAGTGAGACCAGCTTCTGGCACATCAGACACAATTTGCAGGTCACAGGTACCTGGCAGAGAAACAAAGCAGAAGCATAAAGTCCAGGCAAGGGATGGGAGAGGGGTCTCCCCCAATGTGGGTTGAGCAAACTCAGAAGACCCCACTGGACTCACCTGTGGTGGCGTCCCAGAGTAGGAGACCTGTGCAGGTGGCAAGAACATAGGGTTGCTGATCTGAGGCAATGGACCAGGGAACAAGGGGGAGCACATCCGGCTATGGGGCTGCGGCAGAGGAAAGCAGACCCCTTAGACTGAGTCTGAGCCAAACTCAACCCCACAGCTTGCCTTCAGCCTCATAATGCTTAGAATGCCCAAGGCTTGCCGGCCAGCTCACCTGGGTGCCAACAGCTGCCACCCGTTCCTGCTGCTCTGCCACTTTGGCTGCCACAAGCTGGCTCAACTCTTCCATGGTGAGTCCCGCCAAGGTCCTTCGAGCTGCTTTGATCTGCTGGAGGACATTGGTCAGCTGGGCCCTGTGAAGAAGAGGCGAGGAGGGGATGGGGCTCAGCAGGGGCACAGGCCAGCCCTGCAGGGGATGGGCTGCTCTTGCCCAGCAGAGTCCCCCACCGACCTTCGTCTCCCATGGGCCACTGGCCACAAACAGACCTTCCACTAGCCAGTGGGTGAAGGCTGGAAGATCCGCTCTGCCAGAGAGAGCCTCTGCGTGAGGCCAGGTTGTTCCATCAGTCTGAGCCTGGATGCGTCCCAGGGAAGCCAGCTAGGGCAGACGGGGCCCCTCGCCCTGGGGGCTCCTACACTCACTTATTACACTGAGGAAAGCGCGTCATCAACTTCTCCAGGATCTTCTCCAGCTTGTCCACAGGAGGGGGTCTATGGAAGTCAGATGGGGTCTTGACTCCACTCAGGCCTGGGGGGGGAGGCAGCGAGGGTCCAGGTGCCCCATGGGAACCGACCAGGGAAGAGAGGCAGGGACTGCTCCGCTCCTGGGCTGCAGGCAAAGTCGGCGAAGGCTGACTGGGCCTGGTGATGAGGCTGGAGTTCAGCAGGGGGAAGGAGAGCACCCGTGGGTCAGCGCTGGGCATGACCATCGGGGGCATGGAAACTGTCCCGATGGGAAAGGGCAGCTGGGGGGCGAGAGAGGACTTGGCCTGGAAAGGAGGCAGCAGAAAGTCTGTCTGAGGAAAGGAGGAAGAAGACCATTAGTCTGGCGCCTAATACTGGCCAGGGTCCCGATACCAGCCTTCTGCATCCCCTGGCTCACCTCCAATGGGGGCGGGGGCAGAGGGGGTGTGGGGATCTGTGGGAGACTGCTCAACTTGGCCCCGTTCCGTACCAGCTGGATGTGATCGTTGAACTTGTCCTAGAAGATAGATGTGCATTGAGCAAGGTGGACGCAAGCAGAGTGGGAGGCACAACACTCCTGGAGAAGAGCTTAAGCAGCACCTCAAAAAGGGAACACCCCACAAAACTCCTGAGGCCTTCCAGCTTCATCCTGAGGAAGTACCTCCAGCAGTCTCCGCGGAGGCCCACAAAGCCTCAATGGCAACAGCCCTGGGATGCCTCCCATGATCCTGAGGGGCACAAGCACTGCTCCATTGAGGGAAGGGGTGGACTTCTGCACTTACACGGACACTCTCCTTGGTCATCCGTATTTTGTTCAGCCTGGTCTCCCACTCCTGCTTTGGCCGGATTGTCTCCAGCGTAGGGGGTGCTGACCTATGCGCGAGAGATGCCAAGGGGCGAAAAGAGTTCTGCCCTGAGCTCACAAACCACCAAGACTCCCCCAGCTGAAGGGGAGAAGCCTCCTCTTCCTCCTTCCCTTCCCCGAGTATTTTAAGCCCAAGGTTCTGAGTGAGATGTTGCACTCTCAGTCACAGAAGGACAAGTGTGACGTCACGGGGCCGGCAACAAGGCCTGCCAGAAGCAGGAGAACGGGAGAGCAGCCAAGGCGGCACGTGGCAGTTGCAGGCAGGGCTGAGCTTCCCAGCGGGAGCATCGCAAAGAGCCTGACAGGAGCAGCCCCTCCGCCCCAGATGAAAACTCAAGCTTGTACTACGGGCCTCCTGTTGCAGATAGCATAGTCCCTTTCTCCCCAAAGGTGGTTGATGCAACTCGCCCGCTGGCCTCCAAGGTCAGGATGCCCTCCCGCCCCACTAATTGGCAATGGTGCCTTCTCTGCCCGCTGAGCCCGCCTGTGGCCATGCTCACTTGAGGTAGGTGAGGTGCAGCTCTGCTTCTTTCTCGGCTTCTTCTAGCTTCAGCACCAGGAGCTCCTTTCGGCTCTCCAGAGATAGGATCTGAAAAAAAGGTGGGGGGGGCAACCTGCTTATGCCGTCTGGCATGTCTGAGTGGGCAGTGAAAGCGCAGGTCACAGTACCTCCCCCCCAGCCACTGGCCATCTAGCGCCACATCAGCCTCATGGGTGCTGCCAAAGTAACACCTGGAGAGGGGCCGTGTCCTTCCCACTGATGCAAAGAGCCCCCAGAGGAGGCTTAGCCCCCCCCCCGTTCCCCCACCTCTGCTTTCCAGGCCCGCTCCGTCTCCTCCAAGATTGACCGGTTGATGTCACTCTGCTGGTTCTTCAGCTTGCCCAGCTCCAGTTCCCATGCTTCCCTGCGGAGCAAGCAGAGATGCTCGCTGAACGAAGGGGCCTGCCAGGAGCCCTGGAGGAGCTACCCTCAAGCTACACAGCTTTTCCAGCTGGCAAAAGTCGGAAGAGGCCTCAGGGACAGTGTGGACGAGTCCCTTCCCCTCCTTTCCATTAGAGGTGATGCTCAGGGCGATGCATAAGCTCCCCCCCCTGGCTTACTTCTCCTCTGCCTGTTCAGCAATCAACGAAACAATCTTGTTCTCCTTCTCTTCTTGCTCCTTCAAAAGCCTGGGGGAAGCAGGGAGGGAGAGGAGGGCAGCCCAGTGAATGCTTTGGGCTCAAGACTCCCAGGAGAGCAGCTGCACTATGCAACTGGAAGCAACAATGCTGCAGATTTGCAAACATGCACAACTGGCTTGGAGGCCCAGCAGGTTGAACCTGGGCTGCTTCCATGGGATACTGTGGACCTCCTGAATTGCTGACTCAGATTACTGCTGCAGGAGAAATGTGGGCCTAGGTGCAGCTCCATCCCCACCTTGCTCTGCTCGCCTGTATCCGTGACCTGCTGCCCCCTTCAGAATCAGCTTTCTGAACAGGCCAGCAGCTGGCACCCTGAAATACCTCCGGCCTTTCTCACAGAGCTTCTCAATTTCTGCCTTCAGGTCCTGCTCCTTTTGCAAAAACTCCTTCTTTTCCTTCTCCATCTTCTTCCTGGTTTCTTTCCGCTTAACGGTCACATCCTGAATGGCCTTCAAGATCTCCTAGCGCAGAAAACGACCAGTAGCATGTTCTCAGCATTCTCAACATGGTTTCAAAGTTCAAGACGCTTTGCCTGGGCTCAGCAATCTTCAACTGATAATCCACTCAGCTGTTCTCAGCTGGTGTCAGATGGAATTTCAGAAGTCCCACACATTTTCCACCAAGCAGCATCACTTCCTCCTTCCCCGGTGCCCCCCTGGTTTGAGTCTGGCACTACTTGATTTGCCACTGCAGACCCGGTAGAGGCAGCCTTGATCTCACCTGGTGATTCTTCATCTCTTCTTCCCTGCGCTGTTGTAGATGTTGGAGCTGCACCTGCAGCTGGTTCTCCACCTGCCTCTGTTTGTCCAGGACTTCTTGGTATCGCTCCTTCAACGAAGCTCTCTCAGACATCATCTTGTCCTATCGGGCAGCAAGAGACAGGTTTGAATTCTCTGGGCCACCTTCAAAAGACAAAGCCTTAAGCCAGCACGGCCAAAGCACCCCGGCTGGGTCAGAAGACCCTGACTAGGTAGGATGCCAAGCAGAACAGTTCGACAAGTGGAGTGTGTAACCCATCCCCCGCTCTCCACATGAACACTGCATTTCAGTCACAGCCCCACACCACTACCGGAAGAGGAGAGTCCCATACTTACCAGGTTCTTCTCGATGTTCAGATCAGTACTGGCTGCCAAGTCAGCCGTCCTGAAGTCAGTCTGCAAAGGGAGAAGAGGATTTGTCTGTCAGCAATCAGACAAAACACGATTTCCTCTGACTCCCACCATTTCTGCCCAGCAGCCAAAGGTTTGGGCCCTGGCTGGTGGTCTAGCCACAGCCTTCTCGTCCTCTATCCCAACACTAACTGAAGCAAAAAAGAGGCCTCAGTTCAGACACCTGCTCAACACCGTCTTTCTCTTCCACCCAGATTTCTTGGACTGCCGCAGAGGTGAGGAAACCACCCACGTTTTGCCTCCTTCTCTTTGTTGCATTTCATGCAGGACCAGGCCCCTTATGAGGGCCCCAAGCCTCCCCTCCCAGTCCCACTTCCTACAGGGAAGGTTCAGCAAAGCATCCACTCCCTGACCTGAACTGCAATGTTTTGGGACGGTTTTGCAGCCCCATCATCTTCCTGGCCCTGGCTCTTCATGCCCAGAGAGGCTGCCAGGCGCACATCTTCCAAATCAGGGCAGCCATTTTGCCGCCTTCCGTGCTGCAAGATCCAAGACCCCAGCTCAGCCTTGGAGCAGTTCATGTCCGTGGAGTGGGCTGTCTGTGGAAGCAGCGGTGCCGTTGGTGGATTTTCCGCAGGCAGGCAGGCTCTCTTTTCGCCCACAGCATTGTCCAGATCAGGCAGGGAGGGTGCCTCACTTGAGGGGCTGGCGGGAGGCAAGTCAGCAGCCTCAGACGCAGACTCCTCTTCAGGGGCTGTGCGATGCTTGGGAACAGGCGAGCAGGAGGAGGAGGAGGAGGAGGACGGAGAGCCCGGGGCCTTGGGGTCCCTTTCGGTTTCATCTTCGGGGGGCTCCTGCTCCCGCGGCCGGCTGGGCTTGGCAGGATCCGGCGGGAGGCAGCTGCTTCTGCGCACAGGAAGGTCGCCGGGGCCAACCAAGGCGGCGCGGGGGGCGGAGGGAGAGAGACGGGTCAAGGTGCTGGATACCTTTTCTGCAGACGCCTCGCAAAAGCGGCTCGGCTGGTGCCCTCGGAGCATCGCACGCAGCTCCGTCCTGGGCAAACTGCCCGTCCGCGGTCGAGGCCGGGCGGAGCCACCCCCGGGCCTCTCCGGGCCTTCAGCCCTGCCCGAATCGGGGCCGGAAAAGGCGGCGACTCTGACACAACAACCGCCTTCCCGCCTGCCAGGCCGGCCCCACCGCTTCCCCCGAAAGCCGCCGGGAGCTCCGCTTGGCCTTCCCCGGACGAGAAGCGAGCGGAGCGGGCGGCCCTAGAAGCTGCTGCTGCTGTGCCCCTCAGAGTCCCGGGGAGGCGCCGAAGCGGCCCCGAGAGGCCCTCCGGGCGCAGCCACCCCTAACCCCGCCCGGGGCCCCGCCGGCCTTCCGACTGCGGGCTGCCCGTCTCCCGCAGGGCCCTCTCCGCGGCGACGCGGCAGGCCGTTCCCCGGTCTCGCCCGGCCTACCTGGGGGCGGCGCCGGGGCCTGCGCGGGGGGGCTCCGCATCCGCGGGGGCCTTCGCCTCGGCCATGGCCGCCTCTTCCGACGCCATCGCCCGGACCGAGGGGCAACGCTGCGGCCCCTCCAGGACAGCCCGACGCGGCCGCGGGGAGCCGGGCCCGGCGCTCGCCCTGCCCCTCCGGCCGCGGGACCCTCGCCCGTCACACCGCGCCCTGCACGACCTGCGGCCGTCTCGGCGCGGCCTGCTCTTCCTGCCGGCGGGCGGCGCCGCGAGGCCGAGCGGCCAGAGCGGCGGCAGGGAAAGTCCGACGCGCGCGCAGCGCCCCCTGTCAGCCGGGAGGGGCGGGCGGGAGCGGGGGCGGCGGCCGAGCATGTGCAGAGCGAGCCGCGAAGGCTCCGCCCCTCGCTCGACCGAGGAGGACTGTCATGGTGCCGGCTGCTGGTCCCCTGCACCGCCCCGCCAGCCGGGAGGGAGGGGCTCAGCGGGCAGCGGACGTGACGTTCGGCACTCTCCCACCGCCGGAACTCGCCCCGCCCTCGGCTCCGCCCCAGCTCGCGCGGTGGGTGCCCCTCGGCTGGGCTGGGGGTGACGGGCTTCCCTTGGCTAGTCGTGGGGGGGTGAGGGAGAGGAGAGCTTCCCCGGCCCGCCTCGCCCTCCGCAGGGCCGCCCGCCGTGTCTGGCGGCGAGGGAGCCGGTCCTGCGGCTGGGCGCTCCGCGCGGGGCTGGCTCCGCTTCCCGCTTCCCTTCGCCCGGGCGAGCACACAGCACCCGGAGACGAGCTGGCGCGGGCGGCCCGTCCGGCCAGGGGTCCCCGCTCACGCCCCCCTTTCTCCCGGCAGCCCGCTGGTCCGATGCTGCCCCGGGGCGCCGGGCCCCGCCATGGACGGCTGTGATGGAGGCCGCCGGGGACGCTCGCCGCTGCCCTGGACGGGCGCTGCTGCTGCTCCCACTGCTGCTGCTGCTGCTGCTCCCCCCCCGCGGGCTTAGGAGCGCCTTCGGGGCGCCGGGGACCCAGCCTTGCTCTGTTGCCCGCTGCCCGGAGAGCCTGACGTGGGCCGTGCGCCTGACCGGTCCCGAGGAGGATCTGGACCGGCTGGCCGATGACTTGGCCCGCGAGGCCCGTCTAGTCAACGTGGGCCGAATCGGCGAACTGAAGGGCCACTACCTCTTGGCCTACCGGCCTGCAAGCGCCTCCGACCCGCCTCCCGGAGCGGTCCGGAGGGCTGCCGAGGCCCTTTTCGCGCGGCACGCAGGCGTGGGGTGGCACGCGGCTCAGCGGCTCCTCAAGCGCTCGAAGCGCGCCCTGCACTTCAACGACCCCAAGTTCCCCCAGCAGTGGCACCTGGTAAGCCGGGTCTCCCGGTGGGCTTTAGTCGCTGCCCTCCCCAGGCCCCTGGCGCTAGAAGCCCCCCACCAGGCCCGGCTGGGCATCCCTGCGCTCTCCCCCCTTGTTCCAGCCGCCGGAGGAAGGAGCGATGCAGCAGGCCTTAAAATGGGGGCGTGGGCCTCTGCTCTGTTGCCTGTGGGCGTCTTGGCTGGTGGGGGAGGAGGGGCTCCGGGCCAACAGTTGCCTTCCTCCAGCCCCCATCGGCCACTGTGTGCCAGGGAGCAGCCCATCGGAGGGCCGCCGCCACCAGTATGGCTTTGCGAGGGGCCAGAGGCTCTCTGGATGCTGCCCCCTTGCTGGCCACGTTTGCTCTCTCGTAACCAGGACAATCGCAAGAGGCCTGGGATGGACATCAATGTGACAGGCGTGTGGGAGCGGAATGTGACGGGCCAGGGGGTGACGGTGGTGGTGGTGGATGATGGTGTTGAACACACCATCAAGGACATCCAGCCAAACTACGTGAGTGGCTGCCCCCCCACCCCCCGCTGCAGTTCAAGTCCATGGGGTGGCGTTTTCCTTTCTCAACCAGGAAAGGAAGTGGGCAGAGGAAGGGCAGTCTGGGCTGGGTTTGGGGAGCCTTTTTGGGTGGTTGGCTCAGCTGACCTCGGTGAGAAACGGGTGGGGGGAGCCCAGGAAGCTGGGCTGCCCGTGAATTCAGAGATGCCCCTGAGAAAGCGGCTGTCTCTGGGCTGTGGGGATGCTGCTGCAGCCTCTCCAGAAGGTCTCCCCTCCCTAGAATTGTTGAGCCTCTCAGTGGATTAAGCAGTGGGACGGGGCTTGTTTCCCACCCCGCTAGTTTTCCTCTCAGAAGGCCTGGCAGCCAAGATGGGCATTGAAGTGCTGCTGGGGGATGGCTTTTTCAAGCCCTTTGGAAGAGGATTGGATTGGTTGGGCTAGGTTGGCTGGGAGTTCTGGACATTAGAGTCCATTCAGGCTTGAAGGCCATGGGCAGGAACGTGCTAGCTTCCCCCTCCTGGGCCCATGAGAGGAGGCGTCTCAGGCTGCTCTCTCTCCCAGAGCCCGGAAGGCAGCTACGACTTGAACTCCAATGATCCTGACCCCATGCCCCACCCCGACGAGGAGAACGGCAACCACCATGGGACCCGCTGTGCTGGGGAAATTGCAGCCGTGTCCAACAACAGCTTCTGCGCTGTGGGCGTTGCCTTTGGGAGCCGGATTGCAGGTGCTGCTCCCTCCCAGTTCTGCAGGGGAGGGGGGAGACTGCCTAGCTACCAATCGGGTAAGAGAGGGAGTAGCCCCCAGCTGCATAAGTGGGCAGAGAAAGAGGCCCAGCCCCCTTAAGGTTCTAAAGGAAATTTGTACTTTCAGACCTCCTTGGCCTTGTGCCACACAAACTCCTCCTCCTCCCCCCCATGCCCGGTGGCGTCACCTGGAGTCTCTTGTCCCACAGGGATCCGCGTGCTGGATGGGCCCCTCACAGACAGCCTGGAGGCCGTCGCCTTTAACAAGCACTATCAGATCAATGACATCTACAGTTGCAGGTCTGCAGGAAGACACAAGGCTGGGAGCAGGGCCTGGCGTGGTTGTGTTGTGAGCTGCCCTAGAGACATTTATTTTGTGTATTTTTGTCCTGCCCTCATTATTACTTTATAACTAGCTTCAGATGGTGACCATACGTCTTTCCTCCCCAATTTCCTCTCAACAGCAGCCCTGTGCAGTGGGCTGGACTGAGAGAGGACCTGGCCATTGGTGGGCCGCCCAGAGAGGCTTTCCTGGCTTCTCCTGCAGAGGACAGCAAATGCCCGCTCACTCAGAGTCCCCTTGCCCTTCTCTTTTGGTGTGGGTGTCCGTGCGTGCGTGTTGAACCCAGCCCTTGCTCTCCTCCTCGTGCCTTTAAATGCCCTTCTCTGCCTCTTCCTTGGCAGCTGGGGCCCAGATGATGATGGCAAAACAGTGGATGGCCCCCATCAGCTTGGAAAGGTATGAAGGAAGGCAGATGTGTGGGGCTGTGTGCCCGATGTTTGCAGGGGGCCAGAGCCCAGGAGTCCAGGGTGGACTCGGTGGTGCCCCAGCCTCCACAGGGCCAGGCAGCTAATGAGGTTCTGCAGTCTTGGCCTTTTTCTGGCAGGTTGTCAGCTGGGCAGAAGTGGGGGAGGGTGGGAGTGTTCTTGCAGCCTCCCCTCCTGAAGCGTTGCCCGTTTTCTCCTCCACAGGCCGCTCTGCAGCATGGCGTAATTGCTGGCCGGAGGGGCTTCGGCAGCATCTTCGTGGTGGCCAGTGGCAATGGGGGACATCACAATGACAACTGCAACTATGATGGCTACGCCAACTCCATCTACACAGTCACCATTGGTAACGGCTCAGCTAGTGCAGGGCTCTCTGTGCTTTCGCCTTCCCCAGGCCAGGTTCCCTCCCAAGATGGGCGCCCTTTTCTGGCCGTGGGGGAGGCCCAGGTGCCCTGATGGCTGTTTGGGGAGCTGTTTGGGCAACAGGAGAGCAGGAAAATGGCATTTGCACCCTGTGCCATTTGAGATGCGAAACAGTTTCTAGGTTCCCCTCCCAAGATCTGGGCCCTGCCGGGGCTTCTTGAGAGCAGCTTTGGCTGTGTTTCCCCTTTCCATTGTGCCAGCTCTGAGCCTGCAGCTGAGGCAGAATTCAGGGGAATGGCCTAGGCCAAGAGTCTCTGGGTGGCCCTTCGCCATCCCTGGGTTGACAGTGAGGGGCCTTTTGGTGGGGGGGGAGGGAAGGCAGCATGGTGCCTGTTGCAGGATGTGTGTGCCTCTCGCTTGGAGCGACTGGTCTGACGTCCAGCATTACTGGACAGAACAGTGGTAAATTTCCCTGCCAGAGAGAGAGAGCCCAAGAAGCTGGCCTGATGTTGCTCATCTGCCACCTTCATCTGGCCGGGAGGGACTCATTGCCAGGCTGAAACCAGCACAGGCCGGGAGAGTCACTGTCCAAATGGAAGGGAGCAGCATTGCCAGCCCATAGGGAGATTTCAGCAGGCACGGAGAAGCTGCCTGGGAGTTGCTCAGGAAGAGGCCCAGCAGCCGCTATTCAGGAGGGGAGGGGAGGGGAGGGGAGGGGAGGAGGGTGTTATCATGTTCTTCCTGGGCCTCAAAGGCTCCTTCCTTCCTTCCTTCCAGCTGTGGGTCTCTGGGTTCTCCCGCAGAAGTGTGTGCTTCACTCTGCAGTCACAAAAAAGGAGGCCAGGCTGCAAGGGAGGCTCATGGACACTCAGGGGCTCTGTCCCATGGCAAGACCCCCCTGGCTAGCAATGCTGGTCCTATGGGGAAAAAGCCAGCAAGGCCAGGCAGTAGGAATCCAGTTGGTTCCTGTAGTCCCAGTGTTGGGGTCTCTGCTGTCTGTTCCCCAGGCGCCGTGGATGAGATGGGCTACAAGCCATTCTATGCGGAGGAGTGCGCCTCCATGCTGGCCGTGACCTTCAGCGGAGGTGACAAGTTGATGAGAAGCATTGTGAGTAGAAGCCCCCTTGAGCGCCTGGCTTGCCTGTCCTTTCTCAGTACTGGTGGGACTTTGTCTCTTTTGATGCCAAGGAGGATTCCCCAAGTATTCCCAGATGGGCTGTTATGGGGGGCAGACAAGCTGCACCTCCTTTCTTCCAGAGCCCTCCTGGCTTATATCTTCCATCTCGCCAGCCATGGTCAGAGAAAGTCCCAGCTGAGACCCCTTGAGGATCTTGCCACCTTTGTTGGCAAAGGCCCTGGCACCGGGAGTCTCGGACTCTCCTTTAGGCCACCCAGAGGACGTGGAGGAAAAAGAGCCCCTCTTTTCCAGGCACCTTTGTGGCTCTTGTTTTTTGTTGCAGCAACTGCAGCTTTTCCAATAGGCAACTCCGTGTCCTCCCTTTTGCTTCTACTCCATGACAGGGACCCCTTTCTGTCAGCTTCTGTTGGGGATGCTGGGCCAAATGCAGGGAGCCAGCCAGACAGGTCCATCCTCCCATAGGGCAGCCAAGCAGGAGGATGAGGCCAGGGGCTCCCGCTGCCCACCTGCATGAGTGCATCTCTGTCCGACCCTCTGGCCCCAGACATGGTCCTCCCAGGGCCAGTGGCTGGCCTGAGAAGTCTGATTTTTTCTGCCAGGCCTCTCAGCGTGTTGATGTTTCCTAATGGGAAGAATTTCTCCAGGCTTCTTGGCTGCCATTTCCTGGCAGAGCAAGTGCCTGTTTAAAGATGGATTTGCAGGATCCCAATTGCAGCTGTTAGCAGCTGACCGAAGGGACAGATCCTCGGTTAGCTCACCCCTCTTGGCAAGGGAGGAAGAAGGGAAGTCCCCAAGAAGGCAGACCAAGCACTCCCCATCCCACCTCCATCCTCCTCAGTGCCTGAAACTAATAGTTCTGCATGGAAGCAGCCCAGATCCCATCCCAGCAAGGAGTGGACCAAGGGCCAGGCAACCCCAGGACTCATCCGTTTTGCGAGGGGGAGAGGGCCAAGGACCCTGCCTGCTTTCAAGGCATCAGAGCTCTCCTCTCTGTGTCCTTGAGAATCTGGCTGGAGCTCCCCCCCCCACTTGGGAGTCTGCAATCCCTCAGAATAGACTTCCTAGGGCACCTCTTCCTGGCCGGCTCCTCTCAGAGTTCCTGTTTCTCTGCAGGCAACAACAGACTGGGATTTGCAGAGGGGGACGGGCTGCACAGAAGGGCACACGGGCACTTCTGCCGCAGCACCCTTGGCTGCCGGACTGATTGCCCTTATGCTGCAGGTGCGCCCCTGCCTCACCTGGCGGGATGTCCAGCATATCATAGTCTTCACTGCCACTCAGGTGAGCCAAGCCCACAGAGGCACCCCAGCCAGCCATTGGCACCTGAGCTGGCTCTCTTTCCATTGGCCAGAGCCTCCCCCCCATTCCTGCAGGGTGGTGTGCTGGGGGCCTTTTAATGGGTGCGACGAGGGTACCCCACTGCTTCTCTTCTGGGCTACCTCCAAGGAGGAGTTGTCCTCTTCCTCCAGACTGCCTGAAGCCACTCTAGTCACCCAGTGCTGACCCTTGGCATGGCCCAGGCTGCTTCTCCCTGCTACCCTGCTACCATGGGCTTGTGCCAGGCATGCCTTCCCAGTCTGTATGAAGTGGGAGCCCTGGCCAGGAAGCATGGCCCCTCCATCCCGGGTCTTCTCCGGCCTCCGATCAGGGCCCCAGGGGCTTGCCTTGCCTTGACCAGCTCTCCCTGCTGTCCCCTTCCACAGTACGAAGACCATCGTGCCTGCTGGGACGTCAACCAGGCTGGCCTAAGCCACAGTCACCAACATGGATTCGGACTGCTGAATGCCTGGCGGTTGGTCAACGCAGCCAAGGTGCGCCCCTGCCTCCACTGGGCTTCAGGGCCTTGTCGGTGGAGAGTGGTGGTGTAAGCCCCGTTTTGTAATCAGAAGAGAGGCGAGCCTCTCCTTCTGTCTGGCTTGAACCTTCCCAGGAAAAGGGTGCAGGACTCCCTCCCTTAAACTGCAGCTGGCAGGGAAGGTAGCCTTCAGGCGCCCTGGAAGACAGGCAGCCATTCTCCTGGGCAGCCATGCTGGCGTCACTATTCTGGGCATGAGGGCTGGTCTGCGACGGTGGGGGTGGGGGGCTGCCTTGGTGGTGCAGGAAAGCAGAATCCTCTCTTGTTCGTCTGGCAGGTCTGGGAGTCTGTCCCTTATCTGGCCTCCTACATCAGCCCCCTTCTGAAGGAGAAGAGAGCCATCCCCCTGGACCCGGGGCAGTTGGAAGCCACCTGGAACGGTCCGTGCAGTTCTGGGTGGAGGGAGAGGGCAGCTTGGGAATTGGGCCTTGCTCCACCCATTTCACTGGAGGGCTGGCCTCTGCCCGGAGCAGAAGAGGGGCAGGGGTTGGGGACAGGCAGACCAAGGGCAGGGATGCAAGGAGCGCTGGTGGAGGGCCGAGGAGCCTGACTGAAGTGGAAATGCTCAGCCCTGCCAGCGGAGGTGGCAAGTGCCCAGGGCTGTAGCTTGCTCTCCATTTTAGGCAATGTTGCAGCTTCTGTTTGGCCATGCTCTGTCCACGGCAGAGGCATCCTGCCTTTCCTCAGGCTCAGCCAAGGAGGGAATCAGCAGACTTCCCTTGCCTGGCGGGCTCCCTGCCTGCCAGTTCTGCAGAAACAGATCCCTCCTGCAACTGGCTTGGCATCTGGTTGGCACCAGAGGAGCCTGGCAACTCAGTGGCCTCCCTGGCAGGCAAGGCAGCTGGGAGAGGGTCAGGCTGGAGGGGAGAGGCGCTTGATGGACTTGGCTGGCCAGCCAGCCCTTTACTCACCCCAATCCCTTTGGCCAGGGTTGGGGGTCTGGCTCCCCTCTGCCCATGGGAGCTGGGTCCAGATGGGCAGCGAGCTTCTTCCTAGCTTCCATGCAGGCCTTGCTGTCCAGGGGAGACTTTCCCCTAGAAGGAATTATTGAAGGAGGACGTAGCAGAACGACAGAGGCAGGGCTGGGAAATGCCAAATCTTGGAGAAGGGGTCAGGGTCAGGCCTGGGGGGAGGATTTCCAGCTGATGGTGGGGTGGGGGTGGGGGTAGGAGTGGGATTCTCCAAGCTTCAATACTGCAAAACACAGCAATCCCCTCCCTTGCCAGGGGAGAATCCCACCCAGCGCTTAGCAAGATTGAGCTGAGAGCTTCCCCCTCCCCTACTGGGGGGAGGGGGGTCTTGACACCCCCTCAAGGAAGGTCTGAAAGGAATGGGAGGAAGAGTTCCTACCAACAGTCAGCGTGAATCCAAACCTGGTCTGAAAGCCACAGATACTCTGGAAGGCAGCGCTGCTTCTCCTGGCCACAATTCCTGGCTTCTCAGCAATTGCCAAGGGATCAACTTTGATCCCTGTGAATTTATCCTGCCCCTTATTAAAAATGCCTCTCCTGGGGGCTTTGGGATCTGTGGCAGTCTTGTGACTTGTGGAAAGAGAAACGCGTGTTATAAATGCTGCCTACATGGGCAGGATGCAAAGATCTCATTGCTGGGTTCTCTTGACCCCCCCCCCCCAGCAAGTGCCCAGAGCCTTTGGAAAGCCTCTCGGTTGGGAGACCTTTGCAGACCCCGCATTTGGGACACAGCTGTTCTCCCCCCCCCTTCCTTAGTGACTGAAGCTGACCTGGAGCTGTCGGGGTTGAAGACGCTGGAGCACGTGGCCGTGACGGTGAGCATCACCCACCCACGCCGTGGCAATCTGGAGATCCACCTCCTCTGCCCCAGCGGCATGGACTCCCTGGTTGGGACAGCACGCAGCATGGATTCGTGAGTGCACTGCTGCTTGGGGGTAGGAGTGGAAGGGAATCTTGTGGGGCCAGGTACCAAAATGGGGGCAGGACCATCCCCTCAGGCACCTGGGAAGGCACCTGTGACCTGGTCTGGCAGCTGGCCTCACTGGACATTCAAGGCCCAACAGTGTTTCTCTTGCAGACCCAGAGTTTCCAGGCTCAGTCGGGTGGGGGCTAAGGAGAGAAGCCTCCGCCCAACTTCTCTGCTTCTCCCCACAGAGATCCCACTGGCTTTGTGGACTGGACCTTCTCCACTGTGCGCTGCTGGGGCGAGGAGGCCCAGGGCACCTATCGGCTGACAATCCGTGACATGGGTGAGTTTCCTACCCCTCAGCCTGAGCAATAGGGAAGCAAGGCACTCTCCCCATGCTTTGTGACCTGCTTCTTCTTCAGGCGATGAGACGCAGAGAGCGGGCAGGCTGGACCAGTGGCAGCTGACCCTCTACGGCTCATCGTGGACCCCCTCTCAGATCCAGGAGCGGCAGAGGTGAGAGGGACAGAAAGCAGCCAGGGTCAGAGCGTCTCCCTGCCAGGCCCTTCAGCAGAAAGTCTTTGCAGCAGCCGTGCCCACACGAGACACTCTATGGACAGCTTCCAAGGGCATGCTGAGCTAGCGAGTTGGATGGGGGGGGCATGGGGAGTGTGCAGCATGAAGGCTGCTCATCTGGAAAAGTAGCTGGCCTTGCAGCTCCCCAGGCCCAGCATCAGCTTTGCAAGGCCTGGGCCGTTCTTTGCAGTGCCAGCACTGCTTTGCCCTCTGGCACCTTCCTGTTGCACAACTGGTGTGCAATGTGTGTGACTTGCTGAACACATGACTTTCTTTCGGGGGGGGGAGGAAGACAGTCATTTGGGGTGACTAGCAGAGGACACAGGGGGCCCCGTTGTCCCTGCGGTGATCAGCAGAGCCCCTCTCCCCCTGCAGGCTGCTGGAGAAGGCGATGAGTGGCCAGTTCCTGAACAGGGACTTTGCCTTGCCTTGCCCCCCGGGCCTCCGGATCCCCGAGCAGCAGCCCTACACCATCACTGCCAACACCCTCAAGGTGACACCCTTCCCGCTGGGTGGGGGATGGAGATCTGGTGGGACTGAGAGAAGGCGCCAGTTGGCAACACAGCCCTGCTTTGCATGGGAGGAAGGAGCCCCTGAGCAGTTGCCACTTTGGGGAGGGTCTTGATCCCACTCGGAGGAGGGTCCATGTGCTTTACCTAAGCCTCTGCCACTTCCTTCCCCAGACTCTGATGCTGCTCGGTTGCTTTGCTGTCTTTTGGACCTTCTACTACATGCTGGAAGCATTCCTGACGTGCAACAACGTGGCCTTTGATCTCCCAGCTCGCAGCTGCCGGGCCTCCAAGAGCCTGGAAGAAGGAGCTGTGATGGATCACACAGTGCCCCTGCGCAAGGAGGCCGAGGCCGCGCAACCATCCCCGGGCCTGCGAGGCCTGGAGGACAGCTGGGGATCTCAAGGTCCTCACTGGGGAGAGGATTGCTAAACCTCATGGAGGTTTACCTCGGTCATGGCTTGCTGAGCATGCTAGTGCTGCCTCCCTCTGCTCTATACTTTGGAGATCAGCTGAGAGGCTTCCCCTGCCCCAGCAGTTCCCGAGAAGTAACTCGGCTTTTCTGTGGCCTTCTTGGCTGTGCCCGTCCCCTCTTTGGCCCAGAGGGGATTCCTGGGCCCCAGCTGGGCAGTGCAGGGGCAAGGAGACCAGTCCAGCCGAAGGACGAGAAACTCTGGCCGGTGGAGGAGAGGGGCTGCTGCTGGCCAGAAGGGGGTTGTGGCCATGAACTGGGCTCATGCTGCACCCAGCGCTCCTCTCCTCGCCCCACTGCCTGGCAGGCCCTGGTTCTGCCAACCCGCTGCTCTACCTTGCTCTCTGCCCCGACTGGCTGTACGCCGTAGCTGGACCAGGCCTTGCTTGGCTCCTGAGCTTGCCTTGCCTGAGGGGCTGGGAGCTGCTCGGAGGGCACCAAATTGGTTCTTCCACTGAGGCTCCTGGGACCCTCCCCTGGGGGTCTTTCTGGGGACTTGGCTTTCTCATCCAAAGTCACCCTCAAGCTGGAGGACGCGTTTTGATTTTTCGGGCTTTGGATGAGCAGCAGCCAGAATTATTCTTTTGCACTTTTCCAAAATAAACTCTTGAAAATCCAGCGCTGCTGCTCCCTCTGTACGCTGCCTGCACCAGGAGAAGGCCGGTCCTCCCCCCTCCTCCCCAACACCCCCTCCTGAGGCGGCCAGAAAGGTGTAACTCAGCAGAAGCTTTGGGCCATTTCTAGCTCAGTCCCTCCCCCCCACTCTCTGCCTCCTGGACTTGCCAAACGGTGGAATGAGGCCTGGCCCTGGCCTGGCAATGTCCCTCTGCTGAGCAGGAGGGGTGTGGGGAGCCTTCGGCCTGGCCTTCCATGCTCTTTGGGTCCTGCTGTTCTGCTCGCCAAAGATATTCCTGGCATCATAGCAGCAGCAGCAGAGGAGAAGAAACTCAAATCATAGCCAAGGAACCTAAAAGATTCAGTTTTTAATCTAATGAATAACCCCCAAAAAAGTACAAAAGTAGCTTTGTTCTGTGCCCTTAGCAGAGTTTGTCAAGAGAGGCTCCTTTCCTCACGCACCTTCAGCCAAGTTTGGTTCTGCAGTTGGGAGAAGCCTTTCGACAGCCCCAGGATTTGTGCCAGGGCCAAAGCAGGTCGGGAGGGTGTGGTGGGTGGGTGGGTGAAGTGGGCAGCATGCAGAGGCCGGCAGCTCTGGAGCAGGTTGGCTGCCTGGCTGGCCGTTGCTATGCAGCAGCAGCATGAGTCTTTGGGCACAGTGCCCCTTCCGGGAACTGCTTAGGGGGCACGGTGGGGAGGTTCCCTGCGGATACCCCTGGTGGCAGCGGCAGCAGCAGAGGGGCAGAGCTTGCCAGGCTGTTAGCAGGAGCGGGAAGACCAGCCAGCTTGGGGGGGTGGGAGGAACAGCACAGCAGCTGGACTGCTTAGCTGATGATCTGCCGAGGTCGGCCGTAGCCCGTCATGCCCGCCTGCGATGCCCCTTTGTTAGAGCCCATCTGTAAGCCGATCACATTCTTGCCCTCCTTCAGCTGGCTGTCGGAGAAGTCTCGCTTGTTCTCCTGGGCCTTCCTGGGGAGGGAAAGGGGGTTCACAAGAGAGCCTTTGGCACGGTACTCTCCCTGGCAAGCCCTTGTGCTGCGGCCAGCAGGCCGAGGCTCTGCTTTCCCTGAAGGCAGCCTCTGCCACCGGAGCATGAGAGGGGCAATTGCTTCCTCTTGAGGCCAAAAATCAGTACAGCCTCCCCTAAAAGGAGTAGTTTAGCTGCTCAAAGCAATAGGCCCTTGGGTGCATCTGCCGCCACTTACTTCATGAACCACGAGGGGTCCCCCTGGTAATTCCCGTCGTTCTTGGTCACAGCCAGGTTGCCCAAGGCCATGAGGGTCCGCTGGACAGCTGCCATGTCCTTGGCTGGAAGGAAAAGCAGAGCTGGGCTGGTCCGCACATTCCCTGCATTTCTCTAAGGGGGACAGCCTACCCAGGAAACCACCCCCCCAGTGCTCCGCGGGGTATTTGAAGCTGAGGCTGCCCATTTGAAAGGAGCCCTCCCCTTGGTGACTGGCTTGGTCAGAAAAGGGATCCATCTGTGGGCAATCTAGCAGCCTATTTTTGCTGAATGTGAAACTTGGCCACTTTGGAAGATGGACTCCCACTTGGCCCCAATCTTTCTGGGACAAGGAGGTGATGACAAATTCTGGCTCTGGAGCAATGGCACAAGCTCCCCCCCTCCCCAGATCACAGCCCCCCACCTTCAAAGAGATCAACTGTCTGGAACATGTCTGTCTTCACCACCCCGTAGTCCTCGGCTGCCTTCAGAAAGTGGGAGATCTGCTCCATCTGCTTGAAGACCATGCTGGGAGGCGGGTCCGGGATCTTCACAGGCTTGCAGCCGCTGGGGTTAAGGCTGTTGATCAGCTTCCCAAGGATCTGCCCAGGTAGCGAAGAAAACCTGCAACTCCTGCCAGGACTGGCCCTGGCCCCAACGGGCACCCCAAGTCCTCCCCTCCCAGGCGACTGAGGAGCCCCAATACTTACAATGCCGTTCTTCAGCCAGACTTGGAAGCCCAGCCTCCCTCGCTCTGGGCGTCCCACCTCGCTCCCACACTGGGCCACCACCCACTCGACCAGACGCTCTTCCAGCTCATCATCGTATTTCTTCTCGATCTTGGCCTGGACGTCTCTGCTCAGCCCAAAGGAAGGCCCCTTGTTTGCCATATCTGCAGGGTGGGTCTGGGGGAGACAGCAGGCGAGGAGACTGAGGCAGCTGGGCTGTTCCACTGGAGGTCCAAATGCAGGCAGGCAGCAGGCAAAACAATGGGGGCTCATTCAGGCACAGGCTTCCATCGGTTCTCCAGGCCTCCCCACGGCTTTTAGGCAGGGTTTTAGGCAGAGAAACAAAACTTCCTGCCTAGCCTGCCCACTTTTTCTTACACCATTTGGCTGAATTGGGAGACTTTACTCCCCCCCCATCCCCCATGTTTCACAAAGGCTCCTCTGCTGCTCAAGCCCAGGTGTTTGGTCATCTCACCTTTGCCAGCTAGCTGAAGAAGATACCACTGGATGACCCCCTCCCCTCCTCCTCCACTATACAGGCATTTGCACCTTTTCCTAATCTGGCAGCAACAAACAGGTCTGTCCCAAGATCCTGCCGTCTTCCATCCTGTACTTCCAGCTGCCTTTGTGCCCCACTCAAGTGGTCCAGTGGTGGCCACTGCCCTCCCTGCCCCCTCGCCCTTGCTTCAGGCAAGGAGGCCGAAGCAACATTTCCAGTTCGGAAGCCGCAGAGGTCGAGCCCCAGGGGGCTGCGCAGCCACAGGCGGCAAGTGGGATGGACCCGCTGCCACACAGAACCCAGTGTCCCAGGATGGTGGTGAAGCAGGTGTTGCCCAGCACAACTGCCCTCATGCTCAAACCAGGAAGGTGGAGTGCATCACTGCTATCCTCAGTACGCCCAGTCCGGCTGCTCTTGGGCCTGGTCAACCCTGGCTTCGCAACCCTCCCTTCCCTCCTGCCCAGGATCAAATCTCTAGTTGCTTCCAGCCACCACGCCCCAGACTGGACACGTTCAGAAAACGCCAGGGGGCTGGCGGATGCTTGGTAAATCCTGCCACCCCTTTTCTGGCTTCCGCTCATAGCCTCTGTTCCCCCAAAGCCTTGCAGGAATCCCACATGCCCGTCTCCCAGCCAGGGCAGCAGGACCTCAGCAAAGTCTAAGTGCATCCTGAAAATGTTTTCTGGGCTGCCTGCAAAGGGATCTAGGGACACCTTGGCAGAGCCAAAGAAAAGGGCCCCACCCAGGACCCTCTGCCCTTCTTCACCTGCCTGTGAAGGCAGCATTTTCCAGCAATTCTGCTTCCTCCTGGCTTTCCAGGCCTCCCTCTCTCCTGCCAGGGCAGATGATCAATTTGGCACCTCGGGGATGGACCAGGGAAAGATCCATCTGCCCCAGCCCAGCTTTTTGCTAGAGCCTGGCATCCCCCAGGTTCTGCCCCCCTCAGTAACTGTTCCAGATGACCTCTTCCCCCCCCCCAGCAAAGCAAGCGGTCCAGACACCCCCAAGGCAGCTCCTACTGAATCGGCTAGAGAGGCACTTACAGCTGTGGTGGCTCCGAGGCTCCCCAGATGTTGCTCTGCCAGGACTCTGCAGCCCCAGGAGAGGGGCTAAAAGGCTCCGGCCCTCCAGCCCATGACATCACTGGCCCTCCCCCTCCTCGATGGCTGAAGCTGCGCACCATATTTGGGGAAAGACTCCAAAGTCGAGCAGAGTTATTGCCTGAAGACATTCTCGGCATGCCTGAGTCCCGGAGGATGCTCGGCCTGGGCTGGACCCGCACAGCCTCTCCTTTTTAGGCAGGGCTCTCCCCAGCCAGACGGGCCAGCCCTGGCCTCACTCCTGCCTCCTGGATGAGGTCACTCGGGAGAGTTTCGGGGTGCAGAGAGGAAAGAAGGGAACGCCCAGGCCCACAGCCACTTGCAGCAACTGGGGCTTTACTGTAGCCTGCCTGAGACAAGGCAATTGGAGAGAAACTGGGAGCTGAACTGAGGTCACCGCATCTCAGTAGAGTCTGTTCTTTAGGGACAGTCCTCCCTCCATCCTACAAGCAGCTGTTCCCCCCCCCCCAGCCTCATATTCAATGAAAAAAAAGCAAGGCAAGGCCATCTTTTATCGTTTGCATTGGGCAGCAGCATCTGTAGAGATCAAAACGCCAATTTTCTTCAACAGTGTTTTATACCAAGAACCATTTCAAAGGAAAACTGTCTCAGCCGCAATCCAAAACCAGGAATGGTCAAATATGGAGGGAAGGCCCGATTGTTGGATGGGGAAAGAGGAGCACTCGGCCTCCGCCTCCTGAATTGGCCCTTCTGATCTTCTCCTGTCACCCCGCCCCTGCCCCATGTGCAGCCCCTGCATCATGGTGACTCTCTGCAGAAGCTGCCTCCCCCCCACCCAGGAAACCTTGCTTGGGGGGGGTCAAAACTAGGGAGGGGCTCCAGGGACCGCTGCGCAGGCCTTCAGCCCCTCCAACCTGCACTGAGGAGGCTCCAGGGCCCGCTTCCTCCCCATAGGCAGTGACTACATTGCACCCAAAGTGCTTGAGGAGGAGCCCCCCCCCTGCCTGGACAATGCTGCAGGAGGGGGCCCGGGTGGCTGTTACTCCCTGCTCAGCAAAGAAGGCAGCTGCCTCACAGGGGAGGCCCCTTCGGAGGTCAATGCAGGCACCAAGGAAGGGAGCAGAGTCAGTTTCCGAGGGCTGCCCCACTGAACAGGAGCCCAGCTGTTCCGCCTGCAGCTTCTGCTGGGCGCCAACAGAAGGGGCTTTTCTCTCTGTTGTTGGCCGAGGAAGGAAACTGACAGAGAGGCAACCCAGGCAGCATTTGAACCCATCGCCCTGGCTCAGCTTTCAGAGGCTTAGGATGGCAACTTCATTCCCCTTCTGCACTCTCTTTTGATGCCTTGGTGAGGGGGGAAGCACACAGCTGTGGCCCCAGCACCCGCCAGCAGGAGACCTGTCCAATCCTTCAGAAGACATAAATCTTGTCACGCTGGACACAATCCAGGTCATCATCCATTGTCAGCAGGACCTGCACAAAGGGAAGGGAAGGCACCATCAGATGCAGGGGGCCACTGTGGGGAAAGGCATGGGGGTGTGTTTGATGCTAGCATTCCTCTGCACTTCATTCTGGGCGCTTTGTGAGGTCCCCTGGAGCATTTCTCCAACAGTGGCCAACACTCCCCCCCACCCAGGCTCTAGCCAAGTTGTGTTCCACTCTGGAGCACACAACAGCGGTGTCCTTCATGTTGCAACCTTCCCCAAAGGATCCTGACTAAAGCAACTTAAAGGATGTGATTGCCAAGGAAACATCTCAGATCAGGCTCTGGGGTGGGGGGCAGGATATGTTCCCCCCCCAGTTGGAAATGGGGCTGCAACACAGACACGGGGCCAGCTGCTGCTGGCCCTGGAAATACCAGTCTGGCCCAAGAAGTTCTGGGCTCCTGGCAGAGAGCTTGTGCCAGACTGGCAATTCAAGGGCCAGCAGCAACCGGCTCCGTGTCTGTGTTGCAGCCCCTTTTCCAATGGGGGGGACATATCCTGCCCCCCACCCCAGAGCCTGATCTGGGTCCCACAGCTCCCAGGAAGGGGCTGATCTGCCATGGGTTGCAGCGCTCTTGAGCTCTGGACCTGCTGAAGAGACGTACCAGGAAGGAGCCAAACATGGCGATGGAGGAGAGGAAGTGCCAGACGTCGTGGTCGTCGAAGAAGCCCAGCAGGAGGCACTCTCGGTTGTGCTCTCGGGATTCAGCCGGAGTTTTCTGTCGGGACCAGTGACAAGCCTCTTTGCAGGGCTCGGGGTGGGCAGAAGGCTGGATGAGCCCCCGCCCCAGCAGACCAGGCCAAGCCCAGGGCAGGTGCTCCTCTCGCCTGCTGCCTGCACAGCCCAACCTCTGAATCAGCCGCTTTACCCAATGTGGCAAGCGCTCCGTGCAAGAGCCCAGCACGCAGGGGAACAGATGCGCAGACCCAGCCCCCTAAGGAGGAGACCCAGCTTTGCCTTGCCTGGATGCCAAGCAGCCCCGAGGCAGCTCGGCCTCCTGTGGCAGCAGAGAGAGGCTGCGACTGGGTCCCCCTGGCCTGGCTGAGCTCACCTGCCAGGTGCTCAGGCCCTGGAAGAAGAAGAAGAGGGCGAAGCCCCACACCACGGAGGTGCAGACGATGCAGAGCAGGGAGACCAGCAGCAGACGCTCGCCACTCCGGAGCTGCAGGGGAGAGAGTGGTCAGGGGGGCTGTCTGGGGGAAGCCCCAACCGTTCCAGAGAGAGAAGCGCCCCCGGCCAGAGTGGTGGCACCTTCATGATGATGTAGAAGGCAAAGTAGAGCAGCAGGTTGCAGATCCCGATGGCCAGCAGGTAGGAGGCGAAGTCGTTGGGGCGCATGATCAGGCCATAGGCCGCCCTGGGGAGAGCAGGGGGTCGGTGTGGCATCAGAGCAACTACTGAGCCAACCACCCGTCCTCCTGGCTGAGCCCCTAACTCTGCTCTTCCCCCTCCCCCGAGAGAATCCCCAGGGGCTTTTGAGATCCCAAAGCAGCAGGAAGACCCCCCCCTTATAAAGCGACTTTTTGCACCCCAAAGGCGGGCAACCATTCTTTGGTGCAGTGGGGGGATGGGGGCCCAGTTGGCTGCCTCTCGGGCTGGGCTTGTCTGGCTAGCTGCCCTTACTCACAGAGACCAATTGATGAAGTTGCCCATCACCAGCAGCACCATCCGATCCTGCAGACAGAAGCGGGGGAGGGAGAGCGGGGGGGGGGAGTTTGTGAGGCTCCAGGAAGAGAGAATCCTTTCAAAAGAGGGAGGGGGCCACTCCCTCCACTCACCATGTACATGGGCCCACTGCACTGCCGGATGCAGTCTGTGTACAGCACATGGAAGATCCTGCGCCAGGTGCCAGAATCTGGGGGGAGGGGAGAGACGGAGACACTGAAGACTCCCAGAGAGGGTGGGAGTGGGCCAGCATCATGGCCATCCCCCTTGTGGGCAGTCCCACCCAGCTCCCTCCCCCAGAGCTTGCAGGCGAGGACTGGAAGCTCTCTGCGGGGAACAGCCGGCCCCCAACTGCACCCACTCACCCAGTTTCCAGCGGCCCATGTAGTACAGCTGGGTGCTGAGCAGCAGTGTGGACAGGATGTGGATGACTGAGAAGATGATCCAGAAGGCCGTGTTTCCTTTGCCAAAGACCTGGGGGCCAGAGAGCCCTTGAAGGGCAGAACTGGCAGGGACAGGGGCTTGAAGAGGGGGGCGGGAGGGGGGGCTCCTTTTTGGGGCAAGGAAACCTCCCTCCTCAAACTCACCTCCCGAGGGAGAGAGGAGGGACGCAGCGTTTCCTTCGGGGGGGGGGGATTCCAGGGAAGGCACATTTCCTCCCCAGCTCAGCACCCCTTGGAGGCTGGGGCTCCCCTGCTCTCTCCGGGGCTCACAGAGCCTCCCTCCATCTCCCCCAGAGGGTGAGCGCCCTGTGGGAGGCCCAGAGGGGCTGCCGGGGGTCCCGCTTGTGCTCACTCACCACCCCCACAACCGAGAAGAAGATGATGACGGCCAGGCAGGCGTAGGCGCTGTAGGCGCTGGCGTTGATATCGGGGTGCCTCTTCTGGTACAGTTTCAACATGCACAGCCCGGCAATCATGTACATGAACGACGTGTCTGCCATAAAAGAGCCATGGCTGAGTCCAGGGACGCTACTCTCCGCCTGGCTCTGTAGCTCCCCCCCAGCTGAATGGCGGAGAAAAACTGCAGGGCTGGGGCTTCTGGGGGCCCTTCTCAGGCCTTGGGAGCTGGGTCAGGTTGCCCACCAAGGGATGAGGCAGAGGGCCACTCACCAAACTGGAAGTTGGTGTAGTTGGGGCACACGTGGTAGCACGCACTCAGAAGGCCTTCCATCATGAGGGCGGTGCCCATGGCGTAGAAGAGGCCGAAGTGTTTGGGAATGCCACACTCCTGGGAAGGGACACCCATCTGAGAAAGGAGGTCCCTCTGCCCAGCTCCCCTTTCCGTCCGAAACAGAGAGCAGGTTGAGGAGGGCAGAGGGGAAGAGAGGCAAAGAGCCACAGGCCCCTCTCCGGGCAGCGGGTGTGGCCCTGGGGAGAAAGGGGCCCCCTGTGCAGCGGGTGCCTCACCACAGCCTGGAAGTCGTTGCGCACCAAGGCCCGGTTGTAGTGGATCTCGCGCTGCAGGATGATGAGCAGGAAGAGCAGGCCCAGCAGGACATAGCCCAGGTTGCTGAGGATGTTGTTGAAGGCGCTAGAGGGGGGAAGGGTGGCGTCAGGCCCCACAGGGCGAGGGGGTCAAGGCAGAGGCCACTCTCCTGGTTCCTACCTGAGGTTGCTCAGAGGGTGTGCGCAGAGGAAGTTGTAGTAGCAGATGTCCTGGTTCCCCGTCACGTTCACCACCTGCAGGAGGCAAAGGAGGGGCTGGCCAGGGGCCCAGGAAGGCTCGGGCCGGCATCAAGGAAGCCCAGGGGCTCCAGGCCAGGCTCAGGCCAGGGCCAAAGCAAGAGTGGGGGCCCAAGGGCGGTCAATGCTCTGAGGAAAAGGCATTACCGTCTGGTAGGTGATGACCAGCTGGATGACGGGGAGGGCATAGA